GTGAAGCTTAGGTTTAGTAAAGGGGGAAGGTATGGTTCAATTTATATTATTTGTGTGTGTTCATATTGTACTGATTACATACATTATAGCATATGTTCCAAGTAATAATCCCACAAGGGAATCAATCAGGCATATTCCATTATTTTGAGGAAAAAGACAATATTGATTACCATCTTTATGATTCTAATGACATTGTTATCTGAAAACGTCATCATACTTTGGGGCTAATGACATCCTTGCTGAATCTATTCTCATTCCATACATAGATATATGTATAGTCAAAAACTTTATGTGAATTCCCATCTGATAAGAACCGCAAAGTTGTGAGTGTTTTCTAATAGCCCATTTGTCTCCAACTTAAATACTTTATATTTGTGTGTTTAAAGGACTTGTTAGCTTTCTTGCCCGCAAATAAAATAAGCAGGATAAAGGAGAAGATATCAAAGAAATCAATCACTAAACGGCAGTTGCTTTCCTTGCTTGGTCATCTAAATTTTGCGGCAAGAGTTGTGTTACCAGGCAAGTCCTTCATTGCCCACTTACTTAGACTGGCTTCATCAGTGTCCAAATTAACTCATCATGTCTCCTTGAACCAGGCTTGCTGTTTAGAATTATCGATGTGGAAGTTATTTATGGATTCATGGAATGGGATTCATCTGTTTATGAATTCGGGAGTGATCAGTGCATCTGACTTGCACATTTATACAGATGCATCATCTACCAAAGATTTCGGAGGCTTCTTTCAAGGTAGTTGGTTTTGTGACAAATGGCCTGAGGAATTAATTTTTGACCAACGTGATGAACTATCTATGGCTCTGCTGGAGTTGTATCCAATTGTGATAGCGGCAATGCTATGGGGACAGCATTGGTCAAAGCAGAGGATTTGTTTCAACTGTGACAATCAGGCAACAGTAAACATAATTAGGAAAGGCAGGGCAGCTTCACACTGCCATGCAATTAACACTCTTATGTGACGATTAACATTGACTGCCATGCAACATAACTTCATTATACTGGCTCAATTCCTCCCAGGGAAACAAAATTCAATTGCTGATGCCTTATCCCGTTTCCAATTACAGAAATTCCGAGAGCTGGCACCAGATGCACACGAGAACAAATCACCTTGTCCACCGTACTGCGAAGTAACTCAGATTTAGCGCGAGATACAAATCACCTGTGGACTGCTACTATATCACAAAAAACAAGGCAGTTATATGACTCTGGTTTAGCTGTTTTTCTTCGCTTTGCTAATATGCACAATGTTCAGTGTTCAAAATTTGAACTTGCCGTCAATTTCTGACGACTTAATTTTGCTTTTTATAACTCACTGTCATAAACATTTACATCTCAGCGAATCAACCATTAGACTTTACCTTGCTGGAGTACGTTTTAGATATATAGAGGCTGGGGTTTCCAATCCCTGGCAGTG